AGCTTCAGGTTCTCAGGATGCTGGGCTGACAGCATTAACTTCCATTCATAGCCCAGTCCTGCTCAAGCATGTCGTTCGGTTCTGTCCTTGCTTCTTATAGAAACTTAGCCCGTTTGTCCAAATTCTTACTTTTATAGCTGTTTTGATTTGTTTTTTTGGAACTGTTTCATTGTATAGCCCTGGCTGACCTGGAACTTTCTGTATAGATCAGGCTGGCCTCAAACTCACAGAGATCTGCCTGCCTCTGCCTCCTATGTGCTGGAATTAAAGGCCACATACTTGGCAAAATCCTTACTTTTAAAAAGTGGAAGGGAAAGCTATTTTTAGTGCAGACATTCTCAGTAGTGAGATTAAGGAAAACATGGTGGACTTAAAAATTCATCTTTTACATCATCAAAGTAGCAGTTGATAGAGACAAGGAGCATCCATAGAACCAAGATCTCTGGTGAAATGTTGAGAGGAAGGATACTCCCCTGACTTTGACTCTGACTCTGCAGTTCTGTCCCTTCTCAGTGGAGAGAGCTGGTAGACACCACTTACCACTTACTGATTAAGCACAGTATTTCCCATGTTCAGCCAACAGGCCTCCCTATGTCATAGAGCCATGAATAGTCCACACTGCACCAAAGGTACCATCCTGCCAGAATGCCTGCCTGAACCCTACCACGTGGAAGCAAGTAGGTATACCTAGGGTATGGAATGTTTTTTGGGACAACATCAAAAAAATAAACAAGGAGCTGGAGAGATGGTTCAGCAGTTAAGAGCACTTGCTGCTTTTGCAGAGGAACTGGGTTTGGTTCCTAACATCCACATCCGTGGTTCACAACTGCCTATATGTAACTCCAGTTCCAGGAGATCCTACACCCTCTTTTGTGGTCTCCACTACACCTGTATGCACATGGTACACATAAACATATGTTCAGGTCCACACACATACACACATAAACAATTTAAAACCCTAAAGCTAGTGGAAAGCAGGAGCACTTTCATAGTCATTGCACTGTGGCTGTGAAGAGACACTATGACCATGGCAACTTTTTTTTTTTTAAAGATTTTATTTATTATGTATACAACATTCTGCTTCCATGTTGTATATCTGCACATCAGAAGAGGGAACCAGATCTCATAATGGATGGTTTTGAGCCACCATGTGGTTGCTGGGAATTGAACTCAGGAACTCTGGAAGAGCAGTCGGTGCTCTTAACCTCTGAGCCATCTCTCCAGCCCCGACCATGGCAACTCTTATAAAGAAAACTTTTAATTGGGTCCGGCTTACAGTTCAGAGGTTTAGTCCATTCTCATCATGGCAGGAAGTATGGGGGGATTGCAGGCAGTCATGGTACTGATCTGGATCAGCAGAAAGATAGAGAGCCACTGGGCCTGACTTGAGCTTCTGAAACCTCAAAGCCCACTCCCACCCCCAGTGGTACTTCCTCCAATAAGGCCGTACTTTCAGTAATGCCACTCCCTATGAATCTGTGGGGGCTGTTTTCATTCAGACCACCACTGTTTCCAGATTAAGGCAATCTAATGCTCTTGAGCAGGGATTGTGTTCATTGCTTACTTCTGGACTGGAAAGAAAAGCATCCATAGGAGTCATCTCGGGTAGAGTGGAGAAATTTGACACTGACGGTTGATGAGGAAATAAATGGTGTTTCTCAGATTCCTTCAGAGTTTCTCATATGGTGGTCAGTAGAAGAGCACTCTTAATTAGGAGCCCTTGCCGAAATATCAAAGACTGAGTTGTCACTACATTTGCAAATGGCTTTAGGCAACTAAAGAGTATATGAGTGTGTATGTGTGTCTCCTGTGTCTGTGTGCTCAGATGGAAGGAAAAAGCAGATGTGTTAAGGTTAGCAGTTGATGAGTTAGGGAAAAGATAAACAATTCACTCTTCTAAGTAGGTTTAGATTAAAGATTTCTATATCAAAATTTTGGGGGGAAATAACACCTATTGTTTAAACAAAGAAAATACTTTAGGGAAATACCAAAAGAAAAGTAAGAACCACCTCAAATTTCTCTGCCCAGAGAAGTAAGTTTTTGTTATTGTCTGAGACAAAATTTCACTATGTGGCCCTGGGATGGCCTCGAACTTGCTGTATACATGAGCTCAATGTTACACTCCTATGCCTGACTCAGAACACTGCATTATGGAATTATCTGTGTGAACCACCACATATAGCTGTTGGCAGTTTTGAGCCCTCTTTTGGCGTATTCATCCATCTAGTTAATGATTTTTATTCTTATTATTTCTCATACTACCTACCCCTGGATTTTGGGGGGTCTATGGAAATCAGATAATTTGTTTTTTAATTTCTTTTCCTGTGTGTTTGCAAGTGTAGGCATGACAGTGTCAGTGTATGGGGGTTAGAGGACAACTTCAGTCTGTCTTCTACCTTATTTGAGACAAATTGTCTTTGTTGTTTGCCACTGAGTATGCCAAACTGACTGGCCCATGAGCTTCCAGGGATTTGCCTGTCTCCATTAGCCAATCCAACTGTAACCATTGGGCTTATAGACATGCACTACTGTGCCTAGTTTTGTGTGGGTTCTGAGCATTCAAATTCAGGTCCTCATGCTTACCTCCTGAGCACTTACCTGCTGAGCTGTCTCTCTAGTTTTCAGTTTTTCATGGTCTGGTTCTAAAGTATATCTTTTTGTGAGTTGGTTAACATGTTCCCTGTCTCCCATATTCCTGTAAAGTAATTATTGGTTCTAGATAGTTGATTAGATTTGGTTTCTAGGCTTTAGTCTTTGGCAAGAGTTAATTGTAGGGGCTGGAGAGATGGCTCAGCGGTTAAGAGCACTGGCTGCTCTTCCAGAGGTCCTGAGTTCAATTCCCAACAACCGCATGGTGGCTCACAACCATCTGTAATGCAACCTGGTACTCTCTTCTGACCTAGGCAGAACACTGTATACATAATAAATAATTTTTTTTAAAGAGTTAATTGTAAGCCACACTGATTCCTATTGCATAAGAGCTGATCACCTTCCTTCATGGCTGACACTCTAGTGTCCACTATGTGTCTTCGGCCCATCTTCCTCCGGGTCTCCTCTTTCCCCTAAAGGTAACTATTTTTTCTAAATGCAGAGCACTGTCCTCCATGAATTTGTTTGTTTGTTTGTTTGTTTGTTTTTCTTACACCAAAGCATATTGAACTACACAAAGGTCTCTTAGAAACTCTCCAAGTGAGTAGAATCTTCTTCTCCATCTTTTATCCAGTCTGTTTCTTCATAGACAGTATTGAATGAATAGCCTCTGCTTACCAGGCATTGCCTTTTGCCAGCATCTCTAGTACTGAGGCTGCTTTGGGGTGGGGGGTGTAGATGTGTTCTGTAGGTGTTATTAGGCTCTTTGCACTGAGAGTGTGTACAATTCTGCATTCCCACCTCAGCACATGAGGGATTCAGCATCTCTTGCATGGTAGAATGTACTATTGGCAAATAAGGCCTTGCAAAGTGAAGTAGATCTGCATCTGAAGGTTAAACCTTCCCCACATGATTGTATCCTAGGCTTCAAACCTTGTTTTTTATTTGTTTGTTTTTTGTTGTGTTTTGTTTTTCCTCTCACAAATGGGGGTGATAACTGCTTTTAAGATTGGTTAAAGCAAGTTGGTGAGATGGCTGGGCAGGTAAAGGAACTTGCCATCAAGCCTGACAACTTGATTTTAGTTCTAGGAACCGTGTACCATGAGGAGAGAACCAGCACTACAGGTTGTCTTCTGACCTCCACACATGTGCAGTGGCATACACCTTCTCCCCCAATGAGTAAATTTAATATTTTTAATTAAAGATTAATTGAACTATTATGGGTAGAATGCTGAGCTCCACTTGGTGTTTTGAATCCTGGACTCTTGCTATGGCTGCTGGATTTGAATGTGAAAGCTAAGTGCACATTATTGCTATAGACTGGGCAGTATCATCTAGTCTCTGCCAGAATGGCAGAAGGAGAGAGAGAGAGCTAAGAACTTTGGCTCTTTGGGTGGTGACCAGTTGAAAGGGAAAATAAATCTCTATCCCTTTTATGGCTTCTCAGCTGTCCAGTCAAGTCTTTGAAGTGGTGGGCAGGTTTGGAGTGTATCCTAATCTTAAATCCCAGAAGTGACTGCAAACTACTTAATCCTTTCTGCTCTAAACCCAACAGGCAGCATCCCCAGTAAACACTACAGCTCACCCCTTTCACAAATGAGTGCCTTGAGAGGTTTTCCAGAAGCATACCAGCGAGCTGTATGACTGTTGTTACTAGTAATATAGGACTGGGATAATGGTCGATCAATACATTTATCCTAAATGGCCCTTTCCTTTATTTGAGGGATGGCTGTTTATTTGAAACATGTTCTCCCATACTCCAGGCTGGCCTTGTATTTGCTGTATAATTGAAGATGACCTTCAATACCTGATACTCCTCCCTTCAATCTCCCAAGTAGTTGGGATTGCAGATGTGTGCCATCAAAGCTATCTAGGATTTCAGAATTCTTACATGACACTTTGACAGCTGCAATTTAAGGTCTGGGGGTTGACTTGCACATTGTGTTATGAGTTATGAAAACTGTCTAACTCACCCCAGGTCAGAGTTTTGTGTGGAAGTCAGAGAGCAACATGTGGAAAGTAATACTCTCTTCCCATTATGTAGGTTTTAAGGATCAAATTCAGATTGTCAAGCTTGGTGGCAGGAGCTTTTATCCTCTGAGCCATCTTGCTGACCCCGATTCAGAATTTTTAATGATAGGTGGATTTCAGTGGGCCCTTAAGTGCGTGCATGCATGCATGCGTGTGTGTGTTTTCAGAATTTGTATTACCAAGTATTGAAAGTTCAGAAACTCAGCAAGGCATGGTAACACATTGGTAAGGCTGAGATAGAATTACCTTAACTTCAAGGCTGCCCTGGGCTACAAATTTCAAGGGCCATAGAGCAGTAATCTGTCTCCAAAAAAGGGGGGGTGGGGTGGGCTAGAGAAACTCAGTTTTAATCCATAAACTATATTCTCTTTGTTTTAAAGGATGTTGCAGCTCGAGGCTTAGATCTCCCACACGTCACCTGGATTGTTCAGGTAATCTTGTAGTCATTAAGGTGTAAGTATATAAGCATGAGAAGATACATTGAATGATCATTATTACCCTCTTGGGTGTTGCCCTGGTAACCAGGCAGCAGCCAGCCCTATCTGTATGATTCTGACATCTTTTCTTAGCCCAGCCCCTCTGCAACACTGCAGCAGAACAAACCAGGGTGGCAGTCTTAGGAGAGAGTGGCAAACTCTCCCTACTTCTGGACTAATTCATGTAACAAACCAAAGTTTCTAGAGTCTGAAAATAACAGGAGATACCCAGGCCCTTGGGAGGCTTCACTGTGTCCAGAAGGAGATGGCTCAGCTGTTGTGAGAGCTGTGTCCATGTACATTGACCTGCAGGGAGCAATTAAGGTCCTGACAGCATCTTACACACACCTCCTGCTTTGCCGGAGGGTACATGTGTTAGCACTGTGGTCTGGTGGGTTTGGTTTGGTTTGGTTTTTTTTTTTTTTTTTTTCTTTTCATTAGTCTGCAGATTGGTATTTTTAAGCCTGTTTGTCAGGGCCAAGGGACATGTGCCCTGTTTACATGACTCATGGTTTATTCACATTTTGTGGCTTGTCTTAGACAGAAATCTGATCTGTTTGTCATCAGGTATCATGTTGGGACTGGAAACATTGTGTCTCTTTTCTGCTGGCCACAGAGCCAATGGGAGATGGGTAGACTCTGATTTGATTATGGGAAGCCTTGTACTGTAAAGATTGACAAGTTTAAAATGGCTGGCCTTTCAATGTAGTATATTCATTCACCTTGGTCTACGGATCCTCCATTTGTGTAGCAGCAAAGAAAGAAAGAAAGAAAATGTGACCACTTAGCTACAAAGATGGTAGAATTATTGCCAGAGATAGCAAGATGCCTGCCTGATGGTTCTCTTGAATGGGAACTGCCCTTCTCTTGAGTCAGAAGCCTGTCCTGTCTGATCTTGACTGTCTGTCTACTTCCCCACCCGACTAGGAAAAGCGTTTGAAGCAAGGTAGATGGCTTGCCCGTGGGGCCAGCAGCAGAGATGGACTCTGCCAGCACAGTGGTTGGTGCCCTTCATCCTTACTCCTCTTGTCCGCTGTTGCTGCCTCCCAGCTGCTATGTCTACCAAGGAAGTAGGCCAAGGTCATGTGGTCATCCTGGAGAAATTTCCCCCACCTGCTTGCATTTCACCTTGTACAGTCACTTCAGTGAAAAAAATGCAAATAGGACAATGAGGAGACCTGTAGAGCAGTGAAATTAAAAAGGAGATGCTGGGTGAGATGTGTCTTCTTCATCTGAAACTTGGCCACAATTCACATTTTTATGTCAGAGCCTTGTGTTGTGTTAAGAGTAGCCGTAGCCAGGGTACCTGGAGGCAGGTGAGGGGTATTGTTCTTCCAGTTAGTGGTAATCCCTTGATCTACGAATGCCTTCATTTGTGTTGTCCTTTTTAGTACAGTGCTCCGTCTTCACCTGCAGAATACATTCACCGGATTGGAAGAACTGCCCGGATTGGCTGTCATGGGAGCAGCTTGCTCATTTTGGCTCCTTCAGAGGCAGAATATGTCAACTCGTTGGCTTCTCACAAAATCAAGTGAGTCAGAAACCTGAACAGGGTTTCAGCTGATCTCACATAATTAACTTTCTGTCGCTTTTTGAGTGGATGGGCCTTGTAAGCTGCTAAAGAGCCATTAACCCTTGTGATCCCTAAATGAGTTCTAGAATAGCCAATGGCAAAAACTGAAACCCTCAGTACCACCCGCACCTGGCAGTTCCCATTGCAGTGCCCATAAGTTACGGGGCGGTCTGTGCCCCTGGCTTTTCAGCTCTTCCTTAGGAGGCATGCCTTACAGCCAGCTGCTCAGAGGCCTCTTTGTGCTCATTTTCATCCTTGTGCTTAGCATCTTACACTTCAATGCTGATTAGTCTTTAAAGAAATAATAATGTTTGGCTCAGCACAGTTTTCTCCCTGCATGAAAGAATGGGATCCTCAGAGCACTCGGAACAAGGAAACTAGCTGCATATCTGCAGCCTCTGTCTCATGTGTAGTATTTTCAAGTAGCTGGCCTCATGCCCCTGTGGGAAGTTCACACAGAAATGATTGGCCTGGACCACTTAAAGGGACTTGTCTAGCCTTCCATAAATTCTCTGACACCTGAAGTCATAGGTTCTAACAGTGAGTTTGTAACGGCATGAAGTGTTTGACACAGATCTACTTTTAAGAATTTCTTCTACTCAGACATGACAGGGTAATGGATACAAGTCTATTTGGAAGCCCTGGAAGAGCCATGTGTCTGCCCAAGGTGGTGGGGTATGATGCATGCCAAGCCCAAAAGCCCCATTGGCTGCTCTGGTGCTGCTGAGAACTGATGCTGTGTTTTATATGTGTGTCTGTGAGTCTCTGTGGGCTGCTGCGTCTTTTCCTCTTTGACCAGCCATACATTTTATGTAAAACTGAAACTCCAAGGACACTTTTTTCTCCCCTGTACAAAGTTGTAAACACTGCTGAGGAACTGGTCTGAGGATGCCAGTGGGACTGACTACAGACTTGCAGAGCTGTGTGTGGCTGTCCCACCAACTCTTGCCACATTTCCCAGCAGGCAGCACTCTCTGTCTAGTGAGATTTCTTAGAACTTTCAAGATTGTTGTGTGGGCATTAGTGGGCTGAGACAGTGCACCAGCTACTTCTGTGTACAGATGGGTACCTGTTCCTGGTGGTCATTATTCAAGTGGGCCAAAATTAAGATTGCTCAGGTTTCCCTTCTGGTTCCCTTGTTCCTCATCTTAACAACCTACCAAGTGAAAGAATGGTTTTATTCCATGAAAGTGCATGCACTTGATCTCACTCATGAGCGGCCCCGTGTTGTTCAGGTAGATATCTCTCTTCTGGTTATATTTCTGCCTGAATTCAGAGCCCTCTAGTCTGGGGTTGCTTGGTGCTCCTTGTGGCCCTCAACATCTGGGCTGCCCTTTTGCTAGGCTGGTGTTCTCTGGGAGTCCTGCTGAAGACCATTAATGTAGCTGATTCTTGGTTTTCCCCCTGGTGAGAGGGAGCAACAAAGCACAGTAGTGCTCTCCTGTCTGCAGTCAGCACTCGTAGAGAGCATCTTCAGCGTCCTGTGCCAAGGGCCCAGAGCAGTGCAGTCACAGCAAAGAATTATCAGCATGCACCATGTAGCCATGTTTCCCTGGTTCCTCTCCTTTCACTCCTTCTAGTCTAGATCTGCAGGGTCCATTCACTCAGCTCTTCTTATTGCCTGCCCAGGGCATTCCCTAGGCCTGTTCACTCTGTCACAGTCCTCAGAACATGAGGGACCAGTTACAAGTGGCATGTGTCAAACACCAGAGCTAATAGCACAGGTGCTTCTGTCTCTTGTCCTGATTTTTCTTTAATAAACACATTCAAGTTGATTTCTGTGAAAGGTTCAGAAATGAACCAAAAATTGAAAAGAGACAGTGACTGTCTCAGATAGGAATTATTAGTGAGCCAAATTATTTTAAAGATGTAGTAATTACTGTCCTCTTGTGTGTCAGCACTTCCTGTGCTGTTCACATAAAAGAAGAGACACAAGGAGGCCAGACTTTGACAGGAGCGTTGAGAAAGATGGTTATAGGGAGTGCCAGAAGGAAAGGAGCTGAGCCTTTTGGGGGTGACTGCTAGGAATGTTAAAAACTGTCACATAGGATGAGGGTCCCTCCTTGCTGCCACCTGTCTCATGGCTAGACCTTGGGTTACTAGGGAGCAGCACGCATCACAATTCTGTTGATATCTATATACAGGCTGTTGCTTTGACTTAATGCAAACTAAAATAAACTCTGATAAGAGAGTAAATTGTAAGAGCTAGAGTTGGAGCTCAGTTGGTAGAGTGCTTGCTAATATGCATGAATTTCTGGGTTCCAAGCCAAGTAAGGTGAAAACAGTGTAGTGGTACAGGCCTGTAATCATAGAACTTGGGAGGATCAGAAGTTCAAAGTCATCGGCCACTTAGTGAGTTCAAGGCCAGCCTTATTTACATGATACACTGTCTCCAAAAAAAAAAAAAAAAACCTTAAAAACAAATGTCTTTTTAGAAAACTCACATTATATACATTATATGCAATAGAAATAGCCCAACATCTTTAAACTTTGAAGGGTACATTAATCATTAAAAAGGAGGCAGTGGAGAATGGGGCAGGTGCATGTTTTGTGCTTGAGAACCCAAGAGCTAGGCAATGAGGGTCTGGGTAGCTGCTGAATTGCCACTTGCCTTGAGTGGTGGCTGCAGTACTCTCCTCAGTCACTATTCACTCTAACATACTGCTCTAACATACTGGGCAAGAGACAGTCTGGCTGTTGCCACCTCCACCTAAGTGCTCAAACTTTGTTTCTCCATCCTTCCCACTTGTTTATGGTGCTAGTTCCTTCCTCTTTAAGTATGTTGCTAAGAAAGTCATTCCTGGTTTATTAAAATGTAAATGCATCATCAGAACATGTATACTTAGATCAAGCAGATGACTTTGGTTTTGTTTTGTTTTTGTTTTTGTTTGTTTTTTTTGAGACAGAATTTCTCTGTGAAATAGTTCTGGCTATCCTGGAACTTACTCTGTTGATCATGCTGGCCTCACACGCACAGACATCCACCTGCCTCTGCCTCCCAAGGTCTGGATTAAAAGCGTGCGCCACCATTGCCCAGCACAGACAACATTTTGCTGGATGTATTTATTCCTGTCTTCAGATCTGTCCATAGGAGTGAGATAATCCACTTGTTCCTCAGAGGCGGGTTAAGATGAAGTCTTTTAAACTTGGTGGCTGTAGTTCTTTGCTGTTCCTGTTTGCTTATGCCCTGCCCTGGCTGGGTAGTGTCACCTTCTACAGCAAGGACATCTTTCCCATCAGTGGCTGTACGGGCTTTGTGGTTGGGTTTTTGTTTGTTTTGTTTTGCTTTGCTTTTTTTAAGACAGGGTTTCTCTGTGTAACAGTCCTGGCTATCCTAGAACTTGCTTCATAGACCAGGCTGGCCTCAACTCACTAAGATCTACCTGCCTCTGCCTCTGAAGTGCTGGGATAAAAGACATAAGTCACCACCGATTTTTGTTTGTTCGTTTGTTTTTTTGTTTGTTTTTTTTTTTTTCTCATTTTCCTTTTTGAGACAGGATCTTACTATGTAGCCCAGGCTGGCCTTTTTTTTTTCCTCATTTTCCTTTTTGAGACAGGATCTTACTATGTAGCCCAGGCTGGCCTCTCCCCGAGTGGCCCAAGCTAACCTTGGGCTTTATTAGTCTTCCTGCCTTAGCCTCCTCACAGCTAATTATAGCTGTGAGCCACCAAAACCCATTTTGCTCTTATTGTATCTGTCTCTGTCCCCTTGACCAAAGGTAACAATAGGAGTCGGATGGGACAGAGAAAAGCACAAGTATGTCTGTCCCACTGTTAGGTTTTTCAGGTGTAGGAGGCGAACTCAGCTACCATATGTCTCTGTCCTTCACAGGTTGGAGGGCAGGAGAAAATGCTCCTGGGGGAAGGGGTATCCTGGCTTTGCCTCCCATCTTCCCCAACCCTCCACTCCTGCAGCTACCTTTCCCTGCTGTAGAGACATCTCTCCTTCACAGGCCTGTGTGATGCTGAGGGTGGGGGCTTAGGAGGAGTTGACACATCTCAGGTTTGTGGCTGTCAGATATGGCATTTTCATTCATAGACTTGTCAGAGTAACCGTTGGGAAAGGGAGGGAATTGTGTTTGCTGGTAAAAGGTTGCCATTTGTGTTTTAATTTGTTGTTACATTTTCCAAAGAAGAAAGAAAACATACAACAAAATCATTTGTCTTTTCATGATCTATTTCTCTCCCCTAGAGCTCCTCCTTCCCTTTCCTCTGGAAGATGAGCTCAGCAGCTCACATTTCCTATCTCTGCTTGTGCTTCCATGTTGCTCCTGGTTCTAGAGCCATGACTTTGTAGTTGCTGTGTGCATTGTTGCCAGACTTTTCTCAGTGGCCAGTCATGGGTTCTTGTTTTGACTACTGGCTTCAGCAGTTTGCTTGCAACTCCAGGTTTGGGGAATCATTTGGTCCTCAGCCCTGAATGATGAAGAGACAAAAATATCAAAGATTCTCTAGAGTACAGAAAGAACTGAGGAGCTGTGCATAGAGCTGGGGCTCTCACTACCGTTACTGTGGTCTTTGCCCAGTAGTTAAGGAAACAGCCTATGAGATACGATTATTTCTTTGTCTGCTCAAATCCAGAAGCAAGCCTACTGTGTTAGTAACCAAGCTTTAGTAAGAAGTAATGGCAGAGGGCTAGTAAGGCAACTGACCTGAGTTCCATCCCCAGGACCCATGTGGTCCTGCAGTTGCTCTCTGATCCCCCAACACATAGGCTATGCTGTATGTATGGGTCCATGTACATACACAAGCACATACAAATAAATAAAGGTGGTAGAGGCCTAGTATGGTGATTTATTTGTAACCCCAGCATTGGGTAGGCAGGAACATAGAGGCCAGCCTAGGTTTCATAGTGAGTCAAGGCCAGCAACTTAAGGTACACGAGACCTTGGCCCAAAAAAGCAGACTAAGAAAAGAAAGCAAGATGGGTGGGTAGATAGAAGGAAGAACTCCCATGTAAGGTAAACTACTTTAGACCCATCAGGGAAAGGGGAATATGGGGGAAACTGGCTGACTTGGTCCTGCTGCTACCTCCCCCTGTGTCAAATGTCTATAGGCCTAAAAATTATCCTTGCTGGGCATTGATAGTGCACGCTTTTAATCCCAGCACTCAGGAGGCAGAGGCAGGTGGATCTCTGTGAGTTCAATGCCTGCCTGGTTGGTCTATAGTCCTATTCTAGGACAGGCTCCAAAGTTACAGAGAGAAACCCTGTCTTGAAAAAAAAGGGGAGGGGATTCCTTTTCTTCATGACAATTTTTATTAACATATATTTATATTTTGTGTGAAGAGGAGTGGTAAACAGTGTGAAGGTCAGAGGACAACTCTGGGATTCAGTTCTCTCCTCTTCCTTTGTAGGCCTTAGTGGCAGAAGTCAGGTTGTGGGCTTGGTAGCAAGTTCCTGTACCAGCTAAAGTACAAGCTGACCTGCTGTCCCTTCTCAGGTGTTGCTTGTACTTTAGGTTGGGTTTCAGAATGGGCCAGTTTTATACATCAGAATTTGGGCTATTTCTGGGAAAGTACAAAGCTGGCTTCCATGTTATCTTCTTACAGTGTTTCTGAGATTAAGATGGAAGATATTTTGGCTGTCCTGACAAAGGATGATTGCTTTAAAAGGAGACAAAGGGGAGCCCAGGTGAGTGACTCATATCTTGATCTGGGTTCATGGGGACTTCATGTGTGGGCTATTTCTTCTGGCAAACAGAATGTACATTTTAGGAACCATCAGTATTAGATGAAGTCAGATCTTGATTGTGGGTTTTTTCTCTTCTCTTCCTTCTGTATATGTTTGCTAGTCTCATCCAGTTAATGGGTGCCAGTCCATTTTGGAGAACTGCCAGACTCTGCAGAAAGGAGGTTGAGGGCATTAAGTCTGAAGCCAGCATTAAGTTCACCCAGGTTGTGGCCCCTCTCCAGATCATCAGCAAGGACTACTTACTAGACCTGTCCATCTCTAGCAGAATGGCAGAAATAAATATCTCTGTCTCTCAGACACATTTAGGTTGTCCATTTTTTAACGTGAGTGCACTGTCCACAGAGGAAGAGTAAAGTTGAGCTCATTAAGAAGAAAAATGTTTACTACCTATGCAGCTCCATATGGAGACAGTGAGCCGTGCCTGCAGACCTGAGCATCCCCTCCCTGCTGCCTCTCTGCCCCGCCCCTCTAGTCCATTGCTCAGTGTAGCATATGCACGTGTGAGTTGCTCTATGTAACTTGGCTAATTACTTGAATATTTTACATTTATTTTCTTAGGCCCTATGATGCAGTGGGAAAATCAGAGTCACTTAGATCAAGCTGAGATATTCCTCTCATGCATCAGGTGCCTTTATTTGGACTAATACTGCCTTTGAGGCAGGGCTAGATGTGCCTGGCCCTCGCTTAAGCTCTCCTCTTCCAGAGCATGCTTAAGGGAGTTCACGTCAGCAAGTACTTTTAGGTGGGCCATCAAATCTTTGCAGTGACCCTGTGAGGTAGATAGGACCTGGCTGCTAGGCCAGGGGAGTGTAGAGTGAAGCAGCTACACAGACACTGAAAGCAGTGGTCTGCCCTTAGAGCTCGCACCCTGTGGCTCCACTCATGCTGACTAACCACAGTACAGGGGAACTGAAGCACCGCTTTGTTTCTTTGTTTGTGAGACAGGGTCCTTCTGTACAGCACACACTGGCTTTGAACTCAGGGTCATACTGGCTCAACCTCACCAGTGCTGAGTATCCAGGTATGCACCACATGACCAACTGGAAATGCTCTTTTCCAGTGGCACTAACCATCCACCCAAGTGGTGTATATTGCATTTCACAACAGAGCCTCGCTCTGAACTCCACACTGAATTGTTTTTTAGTAGATATTTGTTTCCACAGAGGCAAAGTTTTGGTCACCAAATGATGTCATATCACAGATCCTTGTGACTAGAAAAGTCTGTTAAAGATGCATTTGATCAACAAGTTACTTTTTTTTTAAGATTTTATTTATTTATACAACATTCTGCTTCCATGTATATCTGCACACCAGAAGAGGGCACCAGATCTCATAACAGATGGTTGTGAGCCACCATGTGGTTGCTGGGAATTGAACTCAGGACCTCTGGAAGAACAGTCAGTGCTCTTAACCTCTGAGCCATCTCTCCAGCCCCTCAACAAGTTATTTTAAGTGACTTCCCGTGTTAAAGAAACAACACAGCCATAACATAGTGAGCTTATCAGTCTACTTTTCAGGAATTGGGCACCTGTTATACAGGTTCACTGTGGTCTTTGCACACTTCTGTTACTCTGTAACTGCTGTGCTTAGAGTTTTTATGTTTTAATGTTCCTGTAGCTACTTCAAGCTACTTCTTGAGGTTCCAGTTCAGCTCCACGGTGAGGGCAGGGAGTGTGGGAGCTAAGGAGGACGTGGTGTTGAGAGTGGGTGAAGAGCATGTCCTTTGAGTCAGCTTCTCAGCCGATGCCTCTGGGAAGCTCTGGCGAAGTCCTGGTCCTTTGCAAGCCTCAGCTTCTTCATGTGTAAAGTTGAGGTGTAACTATTCTAAGGAGAGTAGAGGGCAATGTGGGAAACAGTGTTAAAGTACCAAGCATACTGTGAAGTAGGGAAGGCTACACAGTGTAGTTGCCATACTTTCCTGGCAGTGCTGCATAAATAAATAAGCATCTGCCTGCCATCCAGAAATGAGAACTGACTGGAAAGTGACAAAATTAGATCCTAAAAGTTGAATCAAACTTAACCTTCTGTAGACTGTTTGTGAGAGAAGCTTTGCTTTGAGTCTTTATCCCTGAACACAGACTTTTCTCTCCAGGGAGGTGATGGTTGTGTCTGTCTGAACAGTGCCCCACCCCTCCACCTCCACCCCACCCCTTCCCTGGTCTCTAGGGAAGGAACAGAGCGACTGTGTTTCCCTCTAGCCTTTCAGCTGGCTGTGACATTTTTAACATGTGCCCTTCTGTGGTCTTGCAGCATCAGTTATTCTCCTTAAGCCTTTCCTGGCTAGGGGCCAGTCTCAAAGATGTCCTGAGCCCTAGAGTCATTGTCAATGCCTGGGCAAGAGTCAAGCCAGCCTGGACTCTATCCTTGCCTTGCAGCTGGTACCTCTGTGGCGTTGGGCAGATTTTCTTCCTCCTGAACTCAGTCTTCCTGTCTGTAGAAGGAGAATGAGAGTGCCCATATTTGAGGGTTGCCTAACGGCTTACTGAAATGAGACAGAAAGAGCTCAGTGTGCTTCCAAACTACATGAGTTCTCCAGAGTAGAGACCATCTCCCCAGCTCACCCAGGCTCCCACCTTTGGTAGGAATGAGTTGGATTTTATAGTTTTACAGTTTGCTGCTGTTTATTTGAGGGGGAATGCTAAGTAAGATTGGGTTTTCTCACTGATGTTGCCAGATATGATTAACTTGGAAAAATAAATTCATCATACTGGACTTCCTGCTGATTGAGACTAGCTTGTAGGACCAAGTTTCATTTTAACTCAAAAGAAAGAGTGCTTGGTCTAAGTTGCTGTATTGCTAATCACATAGATACCTGGCCTGTAAGGGTGCAGTGGGTGCTGGGTCCAGTTCTGTTCTGTATCTCATGAAAAGTATCCCTGTCCTGGCTACCCCTCCCTGCCAGGCAGATGCACAAGTGGCCAGCATACAGATGGTCACCTCATTACCATGCCCCTCTTCACCAGGTCCACTCAAGCCCATGGTAAATGTCCCTTTGGCACACACATTTTTGGGCTTCTGTGAACAGAAAGAAAGCGAGTGAAGCATCTATAAAATGTATATTTCATATTTAGGTGTATGAAATATATATACAGCTGCATCTGGGTGTGAGTGTTCACCTTCCTACAAAGAGAATAAATTTGATCTTTCAGCTTGACTGGGAGGCATTCAGAAGGTTCTGGGGACCGAGGGGTGAAGCTTATCTTGGCAGGAAAGTGATTAAAACAAAATTCTTCCATTTAGTTAAATATATCTTGGAAGTTGGCTATTCATCACAATGCTTCCACTGCACACACACACACACACACACACACACCTCTGCCATCACCTAAAACTTTTCACAGAGTGGTCCCTCCCACCTAGTTTCCTCTGAGGCGTCTGGCTCCTGGCTGCTGGGTGTTGTGAAGTTTTCATGCAGAGTATGCACCCTCCCAGCATGTTTTTCTCCCAAGATTTTTTTTTTTTTTTTTTTTTTTCTT